TTCATGGAGTTGTGAGATTTTCTTTCTTCCTGTGACTAATTTAGTGATTAGACCCATTTATGTTTGAGTTTTGGTGAAACGCAAAAGGACTTGCCTCTGGGTGGTGGTCCTATTGTTCCAGCCTCCTTTGGGCAGCTGTTACTAGAGAGGATATATAATATTGATCAAAAATATAGGCTTTGGGCTGGGCATGGTGGCTCACACCTGTGATCCTAGCACTCTGGGAGGTCAAGACAGGAGGATCACTTGAGGTCAGGAGTTTGAGACCAGCCTGAGCAAGAAAGAGTGAGATCCCCCTCTTTACTAAAAAAAAAGAAAAAAGAAAGAAAGAAAAAATTAGCTGGCATGGTAGCATGCACTTTTGGTCCTAGCTACTGGGGAGGCTGAGGCAGGAAATCACTTGAGCCCAGAAGTTTGAGGTTGCTGTGAGCTAGGCTGATGCCAAGCACTCTAGTCCAGGGAACAGAGGGAGAATCTGTCTAAACAAACAAACAAACAAAAAAAACCCCCCAAGAAAAGAGTCTTTGAGTTTTGACTGTTTGGGTTTGAATTTCAGCTTCATCTCTTCCTAGCAATGTTGTCTTGGAAAAATGGCTTAATTTCTCAGTGCCTCAGTTTCCTCGTTTGTAAAATGTGGATGATAGTAGTACGTCTCTTATAGGATGTTTGTCTATAGTGTATAGACAATGCCTGGAATTGAGTAAGGGCTCAACAAATATTAGCTATTATTGTTAGAGGAATAGTTCTCAACTGTAGTTTGGGATGGAGTTGTGCATACTGAAATCATGTGGGGGGCTTTGCATGCCTTCTCTAAAGTGACAGGTTGTGCCAAGGGTTAGGATAGCTGGGGTGATAAGCCTTGCACTTAGTCTTCCTTGACACATTTAAAGCTGATTGTTCCTTAAAATCACTTTCATTAAATGAGGCAATTTGGGTTAATGTGTGGAATCACAAATCTCTTCATCAGATGTAAAAATAGCTCAAGCTCCATTAACACTTAGAAAACGAATAATCATTAACTGCTGTTGCCAAGGCAGAAATTAGGCAGTAAGTTGTAGGCAAACCAAGAATAGGATGTAAACTGTCCATTTTTGATAAATACATTTCTCTGTTTTTGGGGCATTTTATTAGATCTGGGATCTGGTTATGGGATAAGAACTTGCAATTCAGAGGTACAATTCCTGTTTCATTCCTGTTGGAAGAGAAGAGTTTCAACTTTGTTTCTTGTTTTCATTTGCAGAATGAGATTAATGAAATTTGAGACCTACTTACCTTTAAAAAGTAGGTCATGATCTGATATGGGTATAGTATCAAAAATATTATGAAGAATTCTTACAACTCAACAATGAAAAGACAATTTAAAAGTGGGAAAAATATTTTAATAGACATTTTCCCTAAGATGTACATGTACAAATGTCTAACAAGCACATGAAAAGGTGTCAACATTATTGTTTATTAGGGAAATGCAAATCAAAAGCACAATACAGGCCGGGCGCGGTGGCTCACGCCTGTAATCCTAGCTCTTGGGAGGCCGAGGCGGGCGGATTGCTCAAAGTCAGGAGTTCAAAACCAGCCTGAGCAAGAGCGAGACCCCGTCTCTACTATAAATAGAAAGAAATTAATTGGCCAACTGATATATATATAAAAAATTAGCCGGGCATGGTGGCGCATGCCTGTAGTCCCAGCTACCCGGGAGGCTGAGGCAGAAGGATCGCTCGAGCCCAGGAGTTTGAGGTTGCTGTGAGCTAGGCTGACGCCATGGCACTCACTCTAGCCTGGACAACAAAGCGAGACTCTGTCTCAAAAAAAAAAAAAAAAAAAAAGCACAATACAATAAGGAAAAAATCTAAGTGTTGGTGAAGATGTGGAGAAACTGGAACCTTGATACATTGGCTGCTAGGAATGTATGTTAGTTCAGCCACTGTGAAAAACAGTTTGGCAGTTCCTCAAAAAGTTAAACCTAGAATTACCAGATGACCCAGCAGTTCTACTCCTGGGTATATACCCAAAAGAATTGAAAACATATATCAACACAAAAACTTCTATATGAATGTTTATAACAGCATTATGCATATTAACCAAAAGGTAGAAACAACCCAAATGTCCATAAATAGATGAATTTATAAATAAATTGTGGTACATACATTAGAATTATTACTCAACCCTAAAAAGGAATGAAATACTGATAATGCTACAACTTGGCTGAAACTTGAAACATTACACTAAGTGAGGGAAGCTAGTCACAAAGGTATATGTTATATGATTCCTTTTACATGATATATCCTGAATAGGCAAATCCAAAGGAACAGCAAATTAGAGGTTCCTAGGGGATGAGGCATAGGGAATGGAGTATGATCATTTATTTAATTGGTATGGAGTGTTTTTATGTAATAAAAGGTCATAAAAAGGTCTTGCTACTAAAGAATGCTGGTGGTTGACAACATGGTAAATACGCTAAATACCACTGAATTGTATATTTTAAAATGGTTAATTGTATGTTAAGTGAATTTCACCTCAATTTTTTTTTTAAAGGGATTCACAAGAACCTTTTGTGCTTCCCAGAGGCAAAAGTTTTAAAGTGCAAGGAATGATGATGGCAGAAAAGGATGACCATATTTGGTGTGGCAACTCTTGTGTTTTTTATAAAAAGTTTTTTATTCTTTGGGGAAGCCGTAAAGGGGCCCAGTTGCTGTGGAACTAACACAGCTGGTAAAGAAGAAAAGGTATTCTTAGCACCTACATCTAGATGACATTCTGTTTTTCCAGGGTCATGCCATTCTATCAGGCTACCATTTCCTTTTTTCAAATTTTTTTTTTTTTTTTTGAGACAGAGTCTCGCTTTGTTGCACAGGCTAGATTGAGTGCCGTGGCGTCAGCCTAGCTCACAGCAACCTCAAACTCCTGGGCTCGAGCAATCCTTCTGCCTCAGCCTCCCAAGTAGCTGGGACTACAGGCATGCGCCACCACGCCCGGCTAATTTTATATATATATATTAGTTGGCCAATTAATTTCTTTCTATTTATAGTAGAGACGGGGTCTTGCTCTTGCTCAGGCTGGTTTTGAACTCCTGACCTTGAGCAATCCACCCGCCTCGGCCTCCCAGAGTGCTAGGATTACAGGCTTGAGCCACCGCGCCCGGCCTCAAATTTTTTTATTGAGATGACATTTATACATTCAGTCTAAAGGCTTGATGAAAAAAATTTTTTAAAAGAAAAATTTACATAGCAAACCATTTTACAGTGAACGATTCAGTGGCATTTAGTACATTTACAGTGTTGTGCAGCTACCAGCTCTATATTGTTTCATAACATTTTCATCACCCCAAAAGGAAATCCCATAACCATTAAGCAGTTGCTCTTCATTCACCCCTCCCCCGGCCTCTGCCAGCCACTAATTTGTATTCTGTCTCTGTGGATACTAATTCTAGATATTTCATATAAATCGAGTTGTCTCAGTCCATTTAGTGTTGCTATAAAGTAATATCTGAGGCTGGGTAATTTACAAAGAAAAGAGTTTTATTGGGCTCACGTTTCTGCAGGCTGTATAAGAAGCATGGTGCCAGCATCTGCTTCTGGTGAGGGCATAGGCTGTTTCCACTCATGATGGAAGGTAAGGAGAGCTGGCCTGCGCAGGTCACATGGCAAGAGAGTGAGCAAGAGAGTGAGGGGAGGTGCTAGGCTCTCTTTTTAACAATTAGCTTCCAGGAACCAATAAGAGTGAGATATCACTCATTACCATGAGGACTGCACCAAGCTGTTCATGAGAGATCTGCCCCCATGACCCAAACATCGGCTATTAAGCCCCACTTCCAACATTGGTGATCATCTGATTTCAACATGAAGTTTGGAGGGTCAAATATCTAAACTGTAGCAGGAGTCATACAACGTGTGACCTTTTGTATCTGACTTCTTTCACTTAGCATAATGTTTTAAAGGTCCATCCATATTGTAGCATGGATCAGAATTTCACTGTTTTTATGGCTGAATAATATTCCATTGTGTGCTTTACACCACAATTTGTTTATCCATTCATCTATTGATGGACATTTAGGTTATTTCCATTTTTTAGTACTTCTGGGAACGTGCATGTATATATATTTGTTTGAGTCCCCTTTTGAATTCTTTTGAGCATATACCTAGGAGGAGAATTGCTGGGTCATGGGATAATTCTAGGTTTAAATTTTTGAGGGACTGTCAAATTCTTTTTCACAGTGGTTGAATCATTTTATCCCCCTAGCAACAATGTATGAGGGTTCCAATTTCTACACACGGTCGCCAGTACTTGTTATTTTCTGCTATTTTGATTCTAGAGAGCCTAGGGGGTTTGAAATGGTACCTCATTGTGGTTTTGATTTGCATTTCCTTAAATGATTAATGATGGTGAGCCTCTTCATGTGCTTGTTAGCCATTTGTATTTCTTCTTTGGAGAAATATATATTGAAGTTCTTTTCCCATTTTAAAGTTAAGTTGTCATTTTGTTGTTGAGTTGCATGAGTTCTTTATATATTCTGGATACTAGATCCTTATCAGATAAATTATTTGCAGATATTTCTGCCATTCTGTGGGCTGTTTTTTCATTTACTTGACAGTGTCCTTTGATGCACAAAAATTTTTAATTTTGATGAAGTCCAATTTATCTATTTTTGAGTGTCATATCTGAGAATCCATTTCCAAATTTAGGGTAATGAAAATTTAATTTTATTCTTCTACCAAGAGTTTTATGGTTTTAGCTGTTATATATTTAGGTCACTGATCCATTTTGAGTTAATTTTTATATATCGTATGAGGTAGGTGTACATCTTCATTGTTTTGCATGTGGATATTTAGTTGTCCCAGCATCATTTGTTGAAGAGACTATTCTTTCTCCATTGAATGGTCTTGGCACTTTGTTGCAGATCAGTTGGCCATAGATGTGTGAGTTTGTTTCTGGGGTCTCAATTCTGTTCTTGCCATTTACTGTTGTATGGACTGAGTTTCTTATTTTTCTCCCTTTGATAACAGGATCATGGCGTTGATAGCAGCATTTTCCAGAATCCCAAAAAGCTTCATCTAACTATTGGGATGTTGGTACTTTTGAGTGAGGAAGAGCTCCAGCAGACATGTGAGATGCTACAGCAGTGTAAAGAGGACTTCATTAAGTGAGCAATCTTCAGGAATGGGGAAGGGTGGTCTACCTGGGCTGACTTCTTTTTGGTATTATTATACAGACTTGTTTTTGGACTAGGGAGCTGGATGACATGGGAACAAGGTTTATTGACTCACCTATTTGTAGCACTTAACACTGGACCATTGTCTGAAAAGTTTAAAATGAATTTAAAGCATATGTTTACAAAATTTATGGACAGACTCTACCTTAAATTATATGAATGCAGTAGACAGATTTTGTTCTTAAACAGGACATCCTATTATTTTCTTCAGTAGGAAACTTTCCTTATTATCTATCAAAGAGTATAGGCTATTATATTAGTTTTCTATGCTGCTATAAGATGTTTTTATAAGATTAGTGGCTTATAATAACACAAATTTATTATCTTATAGTTCTGTAGATCAGAAGACTGATAGGGGTTTCATTAGGCTGAAATCAAGGTGTCAGCAGTGTTGTGATCCTTTCTTTAGAGGCTCTGAGAAAAATCTATTTCCTTGCTTTTAAAGTCCAGCTTCTAGAGTTGGCTCCTATTCCTTGGCTACTGGCCTCTTTCCTTCATCTTCAACTCCAGCAATAATGCATCTCTGTAATCCTTCTGTTGTCACTTGTCTCTCTGTGACCACAGCAAGGACAGGTTGTCTGCTTTTCAGGACTCGTGATTTGATTGAACCAGGTAATCCAGGTTAATCTCCCATCTCATGTTCCTTAATCTTACATCTACAAAGTCTCTTTGCTACAGAAGATGGCATATTTACAAATTCCAGAGAGTAGGATATGGGCATCTTGGGGGAGGGCGCATTATTCTGCCTACTACAGCAACTCAAACATTATAACATGATTCCTTAGGAAAGTCTTTGTTGTATTTCAGAAACACTGATTTTCTTTTTCTTTTTTTTTTTAAATACAGGTAATTTTATTTTTTTACTTTTTTAGAAACAGGGTCTCATTCTGTTGCCCAGAGCTCAGTTAGCTATTCACAGGTGTGATCATTATGCACTACAACCTTGAACTCTTGGCCTCAAGTGTTCCTCCTCAGAAGCTGGGACTGTAGGTGTGCGTTACCGTGCGTGACTCTAAGCAATCTGTTTTAATTCAGAGAAAATGTTGCTGTTTGGGCGCAGAGTTGTTATTCATTTTTACTGTAAAATTTTAATTTACACATACATCTGACATAGCAGCTTTATTGCAAAGAATCATCTCTTCCCCTCTCTCACTTTACTCTTTTAATTAAGATTAATGAAGAAGAGAAATTTGAAAGCTGACTCACTCAAGTAGTTTTTCTTATTCCATTATTATATACAAGTCCCACACTATTTTAACATGGTCTTGTGGAAATAGGTTACCTTATTCATTGGGTAGAACAAGGTAAAAGGATCTAAAATTTTTCTCTAGTTGTGTTGTATATGAAACTATATAATACAGTGACTTATTTGTAGGACAGTTATCCTTTTCCATTGTTTAAAAGACAAAGATATTTTTCTTGTGCCAAGTCACAAGCTGATTGCGTTTGCAGTCTGCCTATCCTCTCTGAATATCAAATTCCACTTCTTGTCATCTTTGCTCAGAGATGGACATATCTGTTTTCTCTCAATCTTACCTAAAATTCACAATAATTTGGCGTTTGTATTAGATATTTGCAAATTCCCTTGTATAAAATAAAACTTTCTGCTTTGTCTTACAGATAATCAGGGCAAATTTACCTGGTTTGAGGGTCAGTTCTGATACTTTAACTTATTCCCAGTTCACTTTTCGCTAAGCTGAACTGAAAGCTGCTGCATTTTCCTAGCAGCATTGGGATAATCCTGCTAAGAAAAAAATTTAAAGATAGATAAAATATTTGTTTAGAGAACAAATTTGGAGAAGTATTTGTTCTTTTTACCTTATGAAAATCAGGCCACAGGTTTTTAATCAGTGAGGCTTTATCCTAAGCCATGTGAAGATTTAGTTGAATTCCTCCCTTTTATGTCTCTTGGTGCCTTTTGTGACTAAATGCCAAATCTGAGCTTTAAGCATGTCAGAGTTGGTGTGCATAGGGAATAAAGAGCATCTTAATAGTCCCTAAGAATTTTTGACATGACAGGATGAAAACAGTAATTGTAGTTTTTCAAATTCAGCAAAGCTTTTGAAATAGGACAAAGTTACCCTGCCAAAAATCTGCAGTGCCTGCAAAAATGTGTTTGAAGATGCTCTTTTTAAAAAGCTAGAAAAATTTGCAACCAGCAAGTAAAATAAAACAAGTCTCCACAGCCCTCTTCTGCCTTCTCTCTGACACTTGCACTTGTTTAAAAAGTAAAAAATTAAAAGTAAAAAGTGCAAAATTAATTTACTTTTGAGAAGGAGGATGAGAATCAGAATAGGTGGTTTAGATTGGTTTGAGGTATCTTGTTTTCCTAAATGGAAGAAACTTCTATTTAAAAAAATAAAATAAAAAATGTACTTCCTTTCATTAAAGCCCTGGTGAATAAATTGGTAAATTGTAACATCTAGTTTTTTTTCTTGCTTTTTGATCTTAGCCTTTGTAATTGGTATACTTAAAAAAAAATGTCAATAAATAATGGCATTTCTAACCTGAACTTTTATGTTGTAAAGATTCAAAATTAAAATATGGAAAAGAAAATATAGAGAAATGAATAGACCAGTACATAGTGAGCTGTAGTTCAAGTTGATGGTTTTTTAAATTGGAGTATTAAGATGTGGCTATATTGGAATTTGATTAAAACTACAGTGCTATGTAACTATTTTAAAGAAATGAGTAGTTGAATATTTGTTGTAAATTTGGAAGTATATTTTTAATTTAAAGGACACTATCTGACCAGAAACAGGATTTTCATTTTAATTCTTTAGTTAAAGGTTCATGTAGCTCCATAAATTTTGAATGAATTATTCAGTGTTTAGTAAATTCTGAAGCTCTGTGTCCCTTGTGACTCTTCTTTGTGAGATGTAGGATACAAAACAGTGCACTGGCTCTGAGGACAGAGTCTGACAAATGTGCAGCTCTTCTTTAGCGCCAGTGTCACCCTCCTGTGCCTAAGTGTTCCCAATAGGCCTGAAGTCAAACCAAAGAACAGGTTTAAAAGAGAAAAGAGGAGAGAAGGAGAGGAAATACCCATGAACAAATGTTAATGTCTAATTATCGCCTGCGGTGTCATCAGTTGGAAAGTATGCTGACTGGTGTCCCAGGTAGAATAGTTTGGCCACCAAGACAAAAAGCATTTATCAGGCAAACCATTGGATGTCTATCCTTCCCTGTAATCTCCCTCTTAATAAACTTTAAGGGTAAGGTTGAAAGAAATTGTATCTAGTCATAGAGCAGGTTTGGGGTCCTGTTTCATGATTTCATTTATTATTTTGTTCTTAGTACACCATCTCATTTCAAGGGTTTGAGGTAGTTTAGGGTGAGGATATGTATAGAAAAGAAATGCTAAAGTCAGAGATATCAGAAACCATAAGGATGAAATGAGAAAATTCTACCTGAAAATCAAGGGTGACATGTTAATTGTGCATAAGCATTAAAGTTTGGTACTGTTTTCTGATACCAGTATATTTGAACTAAATTCCAAAAGAAACACCAATTTATTATAGTTTTTACCTGATAAAAAGTATAATAATTTTTGAGGAGAGAAACCTTTTCTGGTTCCCAATCAATGGAAAATTTGTCATGTAAATCTTAAAGAACCCAAAATGATGATGAACAGGTCCCTGTAACGGGAATTTTGCAGAAGATAAAATCACTGTTCATGTGGCCCTTTCTTATATTGACCCCTAGAAATTGAGAACATCACATTAAATATAACTCAGTAAAAAACATTTTGGTGGGAAAGTATGCCAATGGTATAATGCTTTCTGATGATCTATTTAATAATTGCAGGATTTACAACTTTTAAAACATCAGGGGACATGTGGTTAGTAGGAAACTTTTTTTCAAATAAGTTTTCTCGATTGCATTTTGATAGAGTTTGATGGCAATCTTTCATTATTGAATTCTTTGGCTGGTATTTGGAATGGAGATATATTGTATTATTGATTGAAGCTTCAGATCTCAGATAACAGTTCAGAGCTAGGCTTGTGTTTTGAAATGTCCCACTTCTTATTAGAGGTAGCAGGGAGGCTTATGATCAGAGCCTATCTGATCATAAGTCTATCGTTCTTTTCTCTTTTTCTTTCTTTTTTTTTTTTTTTTTGAGACAGGGTCTTACTCTGTCACCCAGGCTGGAGTACAGTGGAGCAGTGATAGCTCACTGTAGACTTGAACTCTTGGACTTAAGTGATCCTGCTGCCTCAGCCTCCCAAGTAGCTAGGACTATAATTGTATGCCACCACAGCTGGCTGATTTTTTTTTCTTTTTTATTTCGGCATATTATGGGGGTACAGATTTTAAGGTTTCAATAAATGCCCTCCCCCCCCCCACACCCAGCTGGCTGATTTTTTTTTTTTTTTTGAGACAGAGTCTCGCTTTGTTGTCCAGGCTAGAGTGAGTGCCGTGGCGTAGCTCACAGCAACCTCAAACTCCTGGGCTTGAGTGATCCTTCTGCCTCAGCCTCCCGAGTAGCTGGGACTACAGGCATGCGCCACCATGCCCGGCTAATTTTTTTTTTATATATATATATCAGTTGGCCAATTAATTTCTTTCTATTTTATAGTAGAGACGGGGTCTCGCTCTTCCTGAGCAATCCGCCCGCCTCGGCCTCCCAAGAGCTAGGATTACAGGCGTGAGCCACAGCGCCCGGCCTGATTTTTTAATTTTTTTTTTTTTTTTTAGAGATGGGGTCTCACTGTGTTGCCTAGGCTGATCTTTAACTACTGGTCTCAAGGGATCCTCCCACCTGGGCCTCCCAAAACACCTTACAGGTGTGATTACAGGTGTGAGCCACTGTGCCCTGACTATAACTTTTATTAATCTGTTATCTGTCTAAAATAATTCAGCTGTTTAGTTTTTGTTTTTGTTTTTTTTGAGACAGAATCTCGCTCTGTCACCTGGGCTAGAGTGCAGTGGCATCATCATAGCTCACTGCAACCTCAAACTCCTGGGATGAAGCGATCCTTCTGCCTTAGTCTCCTGAGTAGCTGGGACTACAGGTGCGCACCACCATGTCTGGCTAATTTTTCTATTTTTTGTACAGACAGGGGTCTTGCTCTTGCTCAGACTGGTCTAGAACTCTTCAAGCCATCCTCCTGCCTTGGCCTCCCAGAGTGCTAGGATTACAGGCATGAACTACCATACCTGGCCAGTTTTTTACTGAGAGAAATTCTGGTCTTATTCAATAATATGGCCTTGAAGTTTTAAGATAATGTTTACCATTAGGACTCTTAGGTTATAAAGAGCATTCCTATCACCTGGGTTCAATATCAAGAGAACTTTTTGGTTTTTAAAATTGCCCCTCCACCTTTTTTTTTTTTTTTTTTTGAGACAGGGTCTCACTCTGTGGCCTGGCATCAGAGTGCAGTGGCATCATCATAGCTCACTGCAATCTCAAACTCCTGGGCTCAAGTGAACCTCCTGCCTCAGCCTCCCGAGTAGCTGGGACTACAGGTATATACCACCATCCTCGGCTAATAGAATTGTCTTTTAATTTTTCGTTATTTTTGTATGTATGTATGTATGTATTTACAGGGGGTGCTTAAACTCAGTGGTAAGAATAGAATTGTCTTTTCATGGATCTTAAAATCCTCTTGTCTTTGAGCCAGTACCACATTTTTATTTAATGACAATATAGGCATGTGACCACACTCAACTCAAAATTATCTAGAACAGCCTCTCTCTTTTATAGTAGAACATCCATTTAATGTTTATCAGAGATTTATTGAACACTTATTTTGTATAAGGCATTATGTCATGTGTTGAGAATATAGGAGTGTATAAGATGGAGAGAGTGCCTAGCCTTGTGTGGCATAGAAAAGCTTGTATGTAGTGAGCTGATTTTTAGCTGAGTTTCAGCTTGGCGCAACAAAGCCTTTTCTGGGTGAAGTACAGGTCTCTCTAAGGGGTCTGGGAACTAAACAGGATGGTAGGGTTTTACTTAACATGAAAGTATTATATGTTAATTTTAGGAAAGCTAAAAGTTACAGATAAACAAAAATAAAATATCACTTATAATCTTACCACTTAAAGATAATTACCATTAATGCTTTGGAATATATACTTCCACACTTTTTATGTGCATATATGCATGTTTTTTTCTTTGAGGTGTAATTTACTTATATCAAAATGCACAGGTCTTAGGTGTAGTTGATGGGTTTTGACAAATGTATACACCCATGTAGCCTCACCCAGATCAAGATAGGGAATATTGCTTCACCCCATGCACTCCCTCATGCCCTTTTCCAGTAAATTCATTTCTCCCAGAAGCAACCACTGTTCTGATTTCCACTACTATAGATTAGGTTTGCTTGTTTTTTAATGTCCTGTAAGTAGAATCATTCAGTATATATACTTTTGTATTTGGCTACTTTTGCATATTTTTAGAATTTTAACTTGTTAATGGATAATACATGTACATGGTCCATAATTTTAAAGTTGCAAAGGATATGCAGTGAAGAGTTTCTTTACCACTGCTATTCATCAACCACCTGCTTTCTTCTCTAGAGGCAACCAGTGTTACTGTTTTCTTTGTCTCCTTACAGGGATTTTATATTTGTATATATATCTGTATAATGTATATACATTTTCTTACCTCCATCTTTTGCACAAATAACATAGCATGCCCATTTTTTTGCACCCTGTTTTTTTTTTTTTTTTGAGACAGAGTCTCACTTTGTTGCCCAGGCTAGAGTGAGTGCCGTGGCATCAGCCTAGCTCACAGCAACCTCAAACTCCTGGGCTCAAGCGATCTTCCTGCCTCAGCCTCCCAAGTAGCTGGGACTACAGGCATGTGCTACCATGCCTGGCTAATTTTTTCTATATATATTAGGTGGCCAATTAATTTCTTTCTATTTATAGTAGAGACGGGGGTCTCACTCTTGCTCAGGCTGGTTTCGAACTCCTGACCTGGAGCAGTCTGCCTACCTCAGCCTCCCAGAGTGCTAGGATTACAGGCGTGAGCCACCGCGCCCAGCTTGTTTTGCACCTTTTTTAAAGCTTATAAATACAATCGTTTCATATCAATACCCAAAAAGCTTCCTTAGTCACATGTATGGCTTATTTATTGCTCATTATATTACAATTTATCAATCAGCATCACATTATTGGACTTTTAGTCTGTTGCCAGTATTTCGCTACTCCAGACAGTGCCTCAGTTAAAATCCTATGCACAAATTATTTCTCATGGATATTAGTAATATTCTTTTTGCATCCTATCAGGTGGCAAATATTGTCCGGTTGTTTCTGATTTTGTGTGATGTTAAACTTGGATCAGTGGATTCAGGTGTGGTCACCATGATCCATTGTTTATAGAGCTCCCCTTAGGGAGGTCTGTATTTTCTCCAGCCTTTTGCCTAAGTTTTAGCAGCCATTGGTGATCATTTTCGAGATTCGTTTTTTTATCAGGGATTGCAAAATGGTGATATTCTCATTTATTTGTTCCTTTTGCATGTATTGGTTGGAATTCTTCTGTAAAGAACTTTGCTGCATCAACTATGGTTGGTTACATAGTGAAATTCACAGTTGTTGCCTTAGGATGGCCTCTTAGAAATGGACCCGCTTGGGCAAAGGGTTTCTATCAAGGCTTCTTATAATATTGCTCTTAAAGATGTGGTATCAGTATACACCTCTATTATTGTTATATGAATGAAATGCTGTTCATAACTTGTAGAAATAATGAAGAGAGATGGGCCCTAGGAGATGGGCTGGCACAGTAAATGTCTTTATGAATCAGACCTGTCATCCCTTGGTTGTCTCTATTTGAGACACATACTGGGATAAATATAGTGTGACATTGGAAATACTTTCTGATGTTTTCCAATTTGTTTGCATTGAACATTTATTAATTTTGAAATTAAAAAGACAGTTAAATAATAGGAAAAAACACAATTACTTTGTATAATATTTGACTATGTATATTAACCATATTTCAAAATATAATAGCCCTCTTAGCTTAAACAATTATAAAAATCTTACTGTTTTTTTCCTTTGCAGTGACATTTCTGGGGGCAAGCCCCTGGAAGTAGAGATTGCAGGGATAGAGTACATGAATGATGATCCTGGCATGGTGGATGTTCTTTACGCCAAAGTCCACATGAAAGATGGCTCCAACAGGTATATTTCTGGAATACTTCTTTGTTTAAATCAAGAGGTGCCTAAAAGAATCCCTGAAAGTTCAATTCATTTTGATTCCTTTTCTTTGTGATCTTATTGTTATAAACAGTGTGTCGATTCCTTTTTTTTCCCATCCCTAATTTCTTTCTTCCTTTTTTAAAAAAATACTAAGCTGATATCTTAAAAAAATTTTTTTTTCCTTTGTATTTTTCTTCTTTACCAATAGCATTTCCAGAAGCAGAAAAGCTAGTATCTTGAAAGAGGAATTTGTTGTAAGAAAAAGTATCAGACTTTTCATCTGATAACTAACTGTTGAGACCTTTAGATAATGGCAATTGATAGCAGTGATCTAGTTTTCATGGAACTCAGTGGTTCCTTAGTGTTTTCCAGGATAAGAGGCAGGAAGGATGGCATTTTAGGGTAGGAATTTCAAATGTGGTATAATACAGATGCAGTGAATACCAAGACAAATGGGGATGAAAACTTTACCAACTTCATAGGATTATTAAGATTAAAGTAATCTGTATAAAATGCTTAAAGCAGTGCTTTCACATACTGACATTATCAAAACATCAATAAATGTTTACTCTTTTTAATTTTCTTCTTTTTTTTTTTTTTTTTTTTTTTGAGGCAGAGTCTCACTTTTGTTGCCCTGGCTAGAGTGAGTGCCGTGGCGTCAGCCTGGCTCACAGCAACCTCAAACTCCTGGGCTCAAGCGATCCTCCTGCCTCAGCCTCCCGAGTAGCTGGGACTACAGGCATGTACCACCATGCCCGGCTAATTTTTTGTATATGTATTTTTAGTTGGTCAATTAATTTCTTTCTATTTTTTAGTAGAGACAGGGTCTCGCTCAGGATGGTTTCGAACTCCCAACCTCGAGCAATCCGCCCGCCTCGGCCTCCCAGAGTGCTAGGATTACAGGCGTAATTTTCTTCTTTTTTTTTTTTTAAGAGACAGAGTCTTGCTCTGTTTTCCAGGCCGGAACCTCGAACTCCTGGACTCAAGGGGATCCTTCTGCCTTGGCCTCCCAAAATGCTGGGATTATAGACATGAGCCACCACACCTGGCCTCTTTTTGATTTTTAGTATTACTGCACCTAGATCCTTCCTACAGATCCTCAGTCTGCAATCCAGGCTATTTCCAGGTTGGCCTAGGCATCCAGAGCCCTTTCCAGTGTTAATGCCATTTATCAGTCTACTCAAGGCCTTTGGTGAGCAGAGAAGCCCAGCTTGAATTGGAATTTTGTTTTTATGTGGTCTTTTTATTTAGGGTGGGGTAGAACAGGGCTCACACTGAACTAGAAATGCTGTAGAGAACATCTGAGTCTCTAGGCAGGCCCCCAAATCTATTTGCTTTCCTATAGGATCTCTTCTAAGGTTTCTCTTAATTTAAATTGATAATCTCAATTATGTCTTATCTCAATTCATTTATAAGTAAATTTTGAAGAGAAAGGAAGAAAAATCGTATAGAATGATATAAGAGCTATTTTTTGTCTTCTGTGCCAGATTTTTCTTTTCTTAGATACTTGGCATATGCCTAAAGAACATACTAATGATCCTACCTTAAAAACCAGGGGCATTGGGACTTGAGTATGCATGGAAAAAAAAAAAAGAAAAAAAAAAAAAAACCAGGGGCACATTGTTACTTAACAGGATATCATATAATAGAACATTCTTAAACATTTCTATCAGGCTAGAGTTTGATATCTGGTATGGATCATTTACTTTGTGTTCTAAGTTATAACTATCCAAATGCCTTCACAGTATTGTAGAACTGCTGTGTACCATGTATGGGTGTTTTGAAAAAGCACAAACTGTGTTTGCTCTCATACCACACCAGTCAACACAGAAGACTTATGTGACCCCAAAATATGTGGGGATTTCTCCCCACCAGCAAGCAAGCAATCAGCTTGGTTCACAATGGATCATGGACACCAGTTGAGTGTCCTCTAATGTAATTCTGACACTGTCTATCTGGAGATAGTGTCAGATCTCACAGGGTGAGGGCTCAGTCCCCAGGACTGTGCCTTCCTTCAGATACCAGTAGCATGTCCAGGCCTTCAGAAGTTCTGACCGATCAGCTTCAAGTTGTGGTTTCCACAACTTCCTCTTTGGGGTTGATTAATTTGTTGGAGCAGCTCACAGAACTCAGAGAAACGTTTACTTAAGTTTACCGATTTATTATAAAGGATACAAATGAAGATATGTGTAGAGTGAGGTATAGGGGACAAGGTATGGAGCTTCCATGCCATCCCTGGGGACACACCACCCTCCTCCACCTGTTCTGTTTTCTGAACCTAGTCCTCTTAGGTTTTTATGGACAACAGTGTTGAAATGTAATTAGCTGCCAAGTAGCCAACGTCTGAATAGTTTGTTGGTAATTCTTTCAAGTACGAAAGGTGTTCCATGGACTGAAAGTAGTTCAGCTCACAAGTCAGACAGCCATCTACGTAGGTGTACAGATCAAGTGCTTTATATACTTACTACCAATTTCATCACACAGGATATTAAAAAGATGTGCACTCAAGGGCAGAGATTTAATAAAATATATCATTTTTACTGCTTTATCAAGGATAAATGAAACTGACTTCTTAAAAAAATGTAAATGTATAGTGAAGAATATACTACTCCTACTACAGTTTGATGCCACTGCTGTAATTCATGCTAAGATGCCAGCAGTTTTACCTGCCATTGCTTTTGTACCATCAGTTCAAATGTCATCCCAGTAAAAAAGGCAAATAATGTCAACCAACAACATTTTTGAGTAATTCCCATCTCTCTTACTGCTCTAGTTTTTTGTTTCTATTGTTCTTTTTTCTTCATGAGGAGAGCCATGTTGATGTTATTTCAAAAAGATTTATAGGCCGGGCTCAGTGGCTCACGCCTGTAATCCTAGCACTCTGGGAGGCCGAGGTGGACGGATTGCTCGAGGTCAGGAGTTCGAAACCAGCCTGAGCAAGAGCGAGACCCCATCTCTACTATAAATAGAAAGAAATTCATTGGCCACCTAATATATATATAGAAAAAATTAGCCGGGTGTGGTGGTGCGTGCCTGTAGTCCTAGCTACTCAGGAGGCTGAGGCAGCAGGATTGCTTGAGCCCAGGAGTTTGAGGTTGCTGTGAGCTAGGCTGATGCCATGGCACTCACTGTAGCCTGGGCAACCAAGCGAGACTCTGTCTCAAAAAAAAGAAAAGATTTATAAATTCCCCTTTCCAGATATATGATGTCTGAGGGACTTACTCACCTCTTATTTAATTTTAAAACTATTTGAATGCCTCCTTTGTTTAAGGTATTTTGCAAGGCTGTGCAAATTGATACAGAAACAAGTAAGATGTGGCCATGTTTTTAAAGACCATTCAGTCTTTTATGTTTCTTTGTGTGAAAAGAGACAGCTCAATACAAGGGCTGTGTTGTAATAAAATACATGTTGTAATAAAAATACAAATGCTCCACTTTTTTTTATATGCTTTCATGTATAGTATTTTAAATAAAAGATTCCCTTAAAATGATTGCCTGTGAGGTGCCTGACCTTTAATAGAATGGAACCTTTTAGATCAGATTTTTCCTCTGGAAACAGCAGGGACAGCTACATTTATTGATGCATCTTTGGTTTGCTAAAGCATGACCGGTAAGGAATTTGTTTAAGGAAACTTTTACTCATTAGCTAGTAGTGAGAGGTTAGCACTGCTATGCTGAACACTGTGGCTATTCCCCTCTCAGAATAGTTTTCTTACTTTTTTTTTTTTTTTATTGAGAGACAGAATCTCGTTCTATGGCCCTGGGTACAGTGCAGTAGTGTCATTATACCTCACAGCAACCTCAAACTCCTGGGCTCAAGTGATCCTCCTGCCTCAGCCTCCTGGAGTAGCTGGGACTACTGGCGTGTACCACAACGCATGGCTAATTTTTCTATTTTTAGTAGAGATAGGGTCTGCTCTTGTTTAGGCTGGTCTCGAACTCTTGAGCTTAAGTGATCCTCCCGCCTCGGCCTCCCAGAGTGCTAGGATTACAGGCGTGAGCCACCTCACCTGCCTGGTTTTCTCACATTTTACTGAGAACACAAAGTCACCTCATCAATTTCTTCTTTTTCCCCCCACAATTTACCTGTTTTTATGTTTTCATTCTTTTTTTCTGAAGGATGGCACACGTTCACTCTGATGAGGCTAATCCCTTTACTTATTCTCGTGACCTCATTTCTTCTTGTCTCCTCAAATACCTGGCACCGTTAGTTATTCCATCCTGTGTGGCATTGCCAGTCCCCCTTCCCCTCAGGCAGTTGGCAGTCATTAGCATACACTGGGGTGAGTCTGTGATGGGGAGGCTAGGGCTGCAAAGATGGGAGGGCAACTCTGCCCACAGATGGGCAAATTTACTAAATGAAGGTTTCACAAAGAAGGTTTCTTTGCCAAATGAAGAGTTTGCAGGCTAATGGAGTAGCATTTTAGGAAAAGGGGATAAATAACAAGTGCAAAGTCACAGAGGCATAAAAGAGCATATTTTCTAATAGAAAGTGTGAGGTGGGAGATGAGGCTGCAAAGTAGGCAGGGGCCAGATCTAGAAGCACTGTTACATGCCATGTAAAAGGAGTTGGATTTTCATTTGGACATTTGTTTATTCAACAAAAATTATTGAAAGCCCACTAGTGCCAGGCACTGTTGTAGGCTCTGAATATAGAGTGTAAAGCCAGGCACAATCATTGCTCCAGTGTAGTTTATAGACTAACAGGGAATACAGACATTAACAAACAACATAGAAAATATAATTGCGAAGGGAGATAAAGACTGAGCAGGGGGAAAATGACGCTCTGTGACAGAGGGAAAATATTATGGCAGTTTAGATTGGGGGAGAGCAAGGTCAAGGAAAGCCTCTCTAAAGAATTGATATTGGGCCGGGGCGGTGGCTCACGCCTGTAATCCTAGCACTCTGGGAGGCCGAGGCGGGCGGATTGCTCGAGGTCAGGAGTTCAAAACCAGCCTGAGCAAGACCCCATCTCTACCAAA